AGGTCACTATAATTATTAAACCCTTAGTTTTAAAGTGTAATGGTAACCCTCGAATATCGTAAAAATTTGAGAAATTTGAGGAATAATTGAATAATGGATTGAAGGCTTGATCACCTCTGCCACAGCCCTAAGCAAGTCAGTGACTGGGGAACGGTTTGTGGTGGTGGGAATGGTGGTGGTGATGTGGAAGTGTTGTTGGTGGTAGGGAAGTGTTGTTGGTGGTAGGGAAGTGTTGTTGGTGGTAGGGAAGTGTTTGTGGTGATGGGGAAGTGTTTGTGGTGGTGGGAAAGTGATTATGGTGAAGTGTTGTTGTTGGTGGAGCTGGGAAGTGATTGTAGAGGTGAAGTGTTGTTGTTGGTCGAGAAGTGATGGTGGTGGTGGAGAAGTGTTTGTGGTGATGGGGAAGTGTTTGTGGTGGTAGGGGAGTGATTGTGGTGATGGTGAAGTGGTGGTGATGATGGTGAAGTGGTGGTGGTAATGGTGAAGTGGTGGTGGCAATGGTGAAGTGGTGGTGGTAATGGTGAAGTGGTGGTGGTGGGGGTGAAGTGGTGGTGATGATGGTGAAGTAGTGGTGATGATGGAGAAGCGGTGGTGGATGATGGCGAAGTGGTGGTGATGATGATGGAGAAGTGGTGGTGAGTTGATGGTGAAGTGGTGGTGATGAGGGGAGAAGTGGAAAGCGGTGGTAATGCAGAAGTGGTGGTGATGAGGGAGAAGTGGTGGTGGTAATGGTGAAGTGGTGGTGATGATGGTGAAGTGGTGGTGGATGAGGAGAAGTGGTGGTGGTAATGGTGATGGTGGTGGTAATGGTGAAGTGGTGTGATGATGGTGAAGTGGTGATGATGGAGAAGTGGTGGTGGTAATGGTAAAGTGGTGGTGGTAATGGTAAAGTGGTGGTGGTAATGGTAAAGTGGTGGTGGTAATGGTGAAGTGGGGATGAAGTAGTGGTGGTGGGGATGGTGAAGTAGTGATGGTGAAATGGTGATGGTGGTATGGTGGTGGTGAAATGGTGGTGGTGGGGAAGCGATTGTGGTGATGGTGAATTGATTGTGGTGATGGTGAAGTGATTATGGTGGTGGTAAAGTGATTGTAGTGAAATGATTTTGTGGTGGTTAAGTGATTATGGTGAACTGATTTTGTGGTGGTGAGGTGATTGTGGAGGTGAAGTGATTGTGGTGGGGGTAAAGTGATTGTGGGGGGAGGTGAAGTGATTGTGGTGGGGGTAAAGTGATTGTGGGGGGAGGTGAAGTGATTGTGGTGGGGGTAAAGTGATTGTGGGGGGAGGTGAAGTGATTGTGGGGGGGAGGTGAAGTGATTGTGGTGGTGGGTAGGTGAAGTAATTGTGGTAGATGATAATGGGGAAGTGGTGATGGTGTTATATTGAGAAGGTAACAAACAAATTTATTTAAATTAACAAATACAGTAAATAAGGTGAGAATGGGAAGTTAAATATTAATTTTACCAACACTTCCACACCACCACCACAAACACTTCCCCACTAAATGTATACACGTATACAAATGATATTAAATAATTTCTATCATACAAACCTCATTTCCATATGATATAAAAAAACTAACGATATATAAAATATGGCTGATTTAAACGGTGTATGTATGTATCTGGCGTAGCAGTGAACAAAAAACTACACACATCTCATAATACAACATGCACCAAGCCACATCTATTAATAGATGACAAAATCTTTAACCTTATATCAAACTTCATCTCGGCAAGAGAACTGAAAACGCTTCTAGTGACTCACTAAAGCTCTGGTACAAATATAGCGAGTAAACTAATACTTTACCCAGATTCTACCGTAACTAAAGCCGCTCTGTTTACACCGTTACAGATAAATAACTTTAAACGACCAAATATCTAAGAATTTTGACACAACATAAAGAGTGGGCAATTGTGGGTGGGTGTTTCCTCGGTCACTACCTGACCTCTGGTGACCTGACCATACAGGTACACCCTCACTAAGACGTCAACAATACCCTACAGGTACACCCTCACTAAGACGTCAACAATACCCTACAGGGAAAAGTTTGCAGTTTTTAATATATTTAAAGCACACTCAACCCCCTTCATTTTCCCTACTATAAATTTAGGTGCCAGTTTATTGATTTGGTGGAGTGAATATACCCCGGCATCAAACCAGCACGAAACCTAACATTTTCACAGATATTTTACGTATTAATTTGACACACTGACTGTAACATATATAAAACATTTACAGTAGTAGCTCCATAATCGTCGACACAATGACGTATGACTGCAAAACGTAATTACAAGGTAATTTAAACCAATACTATTGTTATGTTATTACTGAGCTTCAACAATTAAAATTTATGAGAGACAGAACTGGCTAACTGATCCTCGCGTGGGTCCTGCTATTTCTGGACCCATAAACTAGTTGCCAGTGAAGAAACTTTAGCCTGTGATGAATATGACGCCGGGAAAAGTAGAGAAAGGGGGCAGATGCTTAATAAACAAACACTGACGGAAAACACTAATTACACCTATCACTAAAACCATCCAAATGATGCCTTCGTAGACATCATCACAATTGGGGGGAAATGAAAAGGTAAAAACATGCAAAAAGAAAATATGGCAACTGTTAAGCTGGTCAAGCAGTGGTGGTTGGGATTCAGGTAAGGTCAAGTTGGTGAATAGGAGTGCATGTGTGAGGTGGGGTGTGTGTTGTGTGGTGGCGAGGTACAGAGAGGAGCAGCCAGCGTCCCGTCCTGCCTGAGACTGCACCTGGGTGTTGTGACCCGCCTCCAGTCACTACTATGACAGCTAACAGTAAATATTTATTTACTGGTCCTTTACTTTTATCTTTAGAAATCTTCATGAAGTGGTAGATCAGTTGTGTAGTGTTGAAAATGCAACGAGGAGGAGTGCAAACTAATGTGGTGTTACCTCCCTTTTGGCTTCAGTAGTAAGGTTGATGCTCACGTGTCACTACTTGTTGTCTTGTACAGTTATCTTAGTATTACCATTATGTGACCAACTCAATTTATCGTTCAGTCACTTACTACAATATTAAGTATAACTAACCACCAACTTCAGTGTTGGAATGAATTTACATTGCATTGCACCGATTCAAATACTGTATCAATACGCCTGTATCTTTGTGCTCCTTATTACCGAGGTTTCTTGCCTGACATATTCATCACAAAACAGTTTTTTTTATCTTAAACAAACAACATCCGAACTAATCAGTACCGTATCTTTCTAGGTTGTCAATCATGGATGGCTGTGCTAGTGATGGGTGTGCTATTGTCAGTAACCCATGCCCAGTGGTCCTATCGCTACCCTACCAACACACACAACACGGGGTACAGACCAGCTCACTATCCCAGTTATTCTCTAGATAGGAATTACCAGACTTTACACAACCCGTTCAATAATAACCCAGTCAAGCCCCAAGAAACAGTCAGATCCTCCTCAACTCAGTCCCCTGTCCAAAGGTACCCATCCACAACTCAGTCCCCTGTCCAAAGGTACCCATCCACAACTCAGTTCACTGTCCAAAGGTACTCGACTCAGTCCCCTAACCAAAGGCTTTACTCATTACAAAAGAACCCTACCCGAAGATATTATTCCCAATCTCAGCCCCAAGTCCAAGGCTACTATTCAGCTCAGTCCCCAATTCAACAATACCAGTCTTCAATTCAGCCCCCACTTCAACAATACCAGTTCCCAACTCACCCTGCAGTCCAACAGTACCAATCCTCAACTCAGCCCCCAGTCCAACAGTACCAATCCTCAACTCAGCCCCCAGTTCAACAGTACCAATCCTCAACTCAGCCCCCAGTTCAACAGTACCAATCCTCAACTCAGCCCCCAGTTCAACAGTACCAATCCTCAACTCAGCCCCCAGTTCAACAGTACCAACCCTCAACTCAGTCCCCAGTTCAACAGTACCAGTCCTCAAATCAACCCCCTATCGAGAGGTATCAATCACAGCACTTGCATCATCAAGCTGGCAGTTCTCTGAAGCCTGCAACCCTTCCTGGTCAACAGTCAACCGGATCTCAACACCCAATAGGTCATCCGTCTCCACAAATCACAAAGTCACAACAGCCTGCATATAGACCCACTCATCAGTCTACCAACCCCCATCATCTTCCATATAGGCCCACTCATCAGTCTACCAGCCCCCATCAGCCCACTCAACAGGCCAACTGGTGGCAACATCGGTACTACCCAGCTCAAGCCTCTGACAGAAGATACCAATCCACAGCAGCCTGGCCTTCTTATTACCAGCACAGGTACATATTGTATACATTGGGTTGAGGAATTTTTGTTTATAGAAAGAAGTGCCCGAAGTTAAATTTCAGGAGGTTCCAATTAATTAAAATAATGCTTGAAGTTGTATATTCATACAGGGCCTGGTTAAGGTTAGTGGAGGCCCTATGCCAAGGGCTCTAGCGGAGGGCCACATTCAAACACTAATATGTATGTACGTGGTTAGCACTTGTTGATTCACTGCAGATAAAACACTAGTAATAGAATCTTTGCTCACAATAAAATCAATAAAAACAATATATTAAAGTATATTTGTTTTATTGTATGATCTTAATGATTGCATTTTTTTTCGATTCCTAAACAGTCTTGTATTCATAGATATTAAAAGAAACTACAGTACTGTAAGTATTTGTTTTTAAGATGAGTACAGCAAACAAGAAAACTAAGCTAGAGGGGAAGATGCCCAAAATCGGGGGGGGGGGGCCAGCTCTATGCCATGGCATAACTAGTGTATGCTGTAACCAGGCCCTGTATTCACAGACTCCTTGAAGAAATGTCACAACTTACTGTTTTAACATATCATAATTACAAAATTTTTGGTTGTACAATTTTCTACATGATCTGTTCATAATTAAGAGGATCCATAATGACATTCTGGCCCTATGTAAGTACAGGTAGTTTACTATAAACTTAAACAAATCTTGTTCCTCCTCAGGTATCATCAACACTGGCCTCAAACTGGAAAGGCACCAAACACTCCAAAATACGGAATAGAGCCCTTTGACAATGGACACGCACACTTAGCAAAGACCACAATTACCACACCGACAAATATGGAACCAGGAAAAACCACATTTGTCAATTCAGAGATTGGAGAAAGCACGGCACTTCCACCCATCACATCCACAGCTGACACTCCACTTACCAAAACAAGGATGACAGTCATTATAACAGCCACAACTGACATGAAAACACCCATCAGTCTCTTAGCATCAAACTCGAGTACAACAACAAATGTGCCATTATATACAGAGACTACACCAATAAGCATTCCATGGACTACAGCTCATAGCTTCAGCACATTAGATGCTTCAGATATAAGCAAGTTGGACAAGTTGAAATCTGTCATTAGCACAACAGATTCTTCACATATGGGTGACACACACAACTTGAAGCCTGATATCAACACAACTAATGCTCAAACTATGGGTGATAAAGACAAATTGAAAGCAGATATCAATATTTACTCTTCATCAGTTATGCCCTCTGTTGAAATGGACAGTATGATGAATACTGCTGGCAAAATTCCCTCAAACTGGCCATTCACAATGAAGCCGGTTCAGGTCATTTTAAAAACTCAAACGTATGCAGATATCTCGTCACCAAAGCCCTCACTTCATAATGACACAAAGGAATCATCTGATCATATGACTGAAAACACGAGAAAACTTTTTGTGGAGAAGAACGTGAATGAATCATCAGATCTTGTGAGTGTAAACATTTCCCTTGGTAGTTCACCGGTCTGCTGCGAAGACAATCTCCAAAAACATGCTCCCAATGAAGGATTTCATATTGTAACTGAAAAAGTTACAACTTCTGAATTACCTTTATCACTTCCTGAAGACAATGGAACTAATAGTGCTGATAATTCACCACAGTACAATCAGGAAATGTTCTTATCTCATGAAAATACTACAAAAACTCTCTACCCATCTGAAAAGATTGACACTCTGTTACCTTCAAGTGATACAGAAACAGATTTTTTATCTACTGGGAAAGATAATGCAACATCTCCAGATTCATCTTTTGTACTACATGGTGAAGGTAACATTCCTCTATTAACCAAAGTATCTCACACCAATTCATCACCTAAGATCAATAAATCAGTAACTCTACAATTTAGAGAGAGTGATACAGTGCTTCCTACACATAATGATACTTTATCACCTGAGAATGATACGACATCCATTCCACTTTTACAAGGGAATGATCCTCCACAACCAAGTGATAATACTGCCCCATTACCTGTGGAAGAAACTGCACCGACTTCACTCGTACAGAATAAGAATGAACCTCTCCAACCAAGTGAGACAGTTAATGTGTCAACTAAACATGTAAAATTGGTCAAAGTTATTTCAAGGTCACAAATAGAAATGGACCACAACAAATCTCAATCTTCTCATCGAGTACCTGTAAAAATTTCTTCTCCACATCAGTGGGAAGAAGGTAGGAAAGGAATACCAATGCAAATAACTAACCAACCCTATAGAGTTAATGGTCATCCTAATCATCCACTGCAGGACCGCATCAAACCTCAAAGATTGCTTGTGCCATGGCCTACACCTCCTCGACGCTCCTTCCGACCAGGATATATTAAGAATCAGCATCTAAATGTTCCACCTCCTCCAAAAATGCTGTCCACACATAATAACAGTTCTGAAGGTATCCTTCCTCAGTTCAACCCAACAAGTGGCTTGCAATTCAAATTGTCTAAGCTTAAAGAAACAAAATCTGAACCCAACATAAAAGATGTTTTACCCCAGTTTAGCCCAACCAGTGGCAAGGTATTCACTTTAACACAGTCTGCTAATGATTCAAGCAAAATAAACAATGATATTAGTGAAGCTGCTACACCGAATTCACAACCTGACTCTGTTCATATGGTTAATGGTCCCTCTCTGGGTAATCATTTGCATAATAAAACAAAAAACCCTGAGGTCACTACAAAAGCAATTATGATCCACAACAAAGAGTCTGTAAGGCTGCCGCTAGGATATGATGAAAATGAATTCAATTCTTCTTTAAGTCACAAAGCAAATGACTACATGATAAGGTCTGATGACACAGATGATTACCAGGTGTCATTTGGCACTAAAGAGCAAGTAACCACTTCAGTGAGCCATAGGAATAACTTTAATAATGTCACTAATTCTACATCAGATACTGATGCAACAGCTTCACCTAATATATATAATGAACCTTTAACACCACCAACTGGATTAACATCAACTCAAAGTGCGACATATAAACCTGCTGAGGTAGCAGATGAAATCACAAAGACTTCTGCTTCTATTACCATTGAAGATAATCCTACAGTGATAATTAATGGGAATTTCTCCTTTACTAACACAAAACCAATAGTAAAGTCTGTAAGACAAAGGGAAGAGAATCAGTCAGTTGTTTTAGAAAAAAAAGATGATAATTATGATAGCCAGATTCTTCCTCTAAGAGAAATAGAGCCATCGAAGGTAGTGAGCTTCGACAGCACAATTATTGAGGAAGAGATAGAGCCTGATAACCTATCAAAAATTCAAACAGATTCTCAAAATTTTGAAGAGTTGAAAGAAAACACAAGTGTCCACTCTTTAGTGGCATTGTTCCAGAACACTGTACCCTCAAAAATAAGAGCCTCTTCTAATGAAAGAAACGACAGTGTTCTAAAGATCACCTCTATACAAGATTCCCTACAAGTACCAATAATGACTCAAAGTACTCCTCCAAGCCAACTAACAAAGGAATTCCATCAGGATCAACAAACAGCATTCAAAAGGTATCTTCCTTTAAAATCAACTAACCAAGAAGCTTCACCTCAGCCACTATTCCCTGTGAAGCCAGAGAATATGGCAGACAAACCAAATGAAGAGATACCTAAAATCTTATCAAACAAAAAGATGCCACAAAATTTACCTTCAAGCTACCTACTACTTTTACCACCACAAAAGTCAACTCCAAGGCATCAAAGTTTGTTCCTCCTGTCAAGACCACACAACTTTCCTCTTTCTCAGAGACCAGAAAACTTTTCTCAAAGAAAATATAATACAGGTATTTCTTTGTCATCAAGACCACAGGAATATTCTCAATCTGCAAGACCACAAAGTGTGTTACAACTATCTACACCTAAGAACCTTCTTCTTCAACAAACTCCACAAAATTTATCTCCACCAACGAGACTTGAGACCCTATCTCTATTTGCTAGACCACAAAACTTAAATCAAAATTCAAATGTGTATAATCAACCAACACCAACATCATCAATATTGCAATATGTCTCCCCAGGGAAACAGGAGTCACTGCTATCACAAGAGCACCCACCCATAGTGACAGTACCCAACTTAGATATCACTCCACCTACAGCTATACCTCCTATTCAGGACCAAGTTGAAGGAACAAGATCAAAACAGCAAACATCTATTGGAAGAAAACCCTCAGCAACAAAACCACAATCAGCCTCTGGAGTTCCAACACCAATTGTTTCAACTTACCAATCACCATCATTATTTGACCAACAAATACCTACCGGTACCCAGTCTGTTTCACCAGGTACACTGCAAGACAAACAACTTGCTAAAGAAGACACACATGATGTGACATCTAGTGCAACAGTCAGCTTCATATCACACATCTCCTCACTCACTACTATGGCACCAGCCACCACCAACCACAGCTCTTCACCATCAGTAACTGAAACTGAAGAGAGCCAGGTAAGTGGTATTCTGAAAGGATTGCCAGATTTCCTAAAAGGTTCTGTGGAAGTAGACACATCTAATTTACACAAGCATAATAATGTGGTTGTTAGTGACAGTTATGGTAGTGTGGCTTACCAGCGAAGGGGAATAAATTTCATAGATATACAAAATGATGTGTAATTCTGAAGTATAATGCTGTAGTGTAAATCATAGAAAGATAAGTACTGTAATAAAAAATGACAAAAGTTCAGTAATTCTTTAACCCTTTCACCTTGGGAGTGCAGTAGTCAAGTGGATACAGTGCTCGCTTCTGTTCCAGGGATTGGTTGTTTGATCCCCAGACACTCCCAGTACTAAGTTTACAATTTGAGGAAGTGAATGTGGTCGAGTGCAGTACCGGCCACGCTGCCTCCTTGTGTACCGAAAGCTTAGTATATAGTGTGCTGTATCTCCACTGTCCCTAACAGGCAGTCATGCCTATGGCACCCACTTTCACTTTTTTGCACTTGGGAAATATAATAATCTGTTGAGACTGGGAATGGAAAAAAAAAATTTAAACATTAAATTTTTTTTTCAAATAGTATAAAAAAGTTACATGAAAAATTATTTTGGTATTAAAATAATGTAGCTTCATGGAGGCTGGGATGGGATTTAAAGTTGCACATTCAGAGGGTCCTTGGGTTCTGGTGGTGAGCCAGAGTAATGGGAAAAAAGATAAGGTCAGTGCCTCTGATAGCAAGTTTGATCATTTCATCCCAGATTTCACTTTCGAAGCTATTATCTATCAATATTTTTAATGGTGTCAGGGGACAGACAAACTGCATTTCCTCACAGTTGTGTGCTGTATGGTTACCAGGTAATAAACTGAGCAATGTATGACAGCACAGACATGTTTTGTGGGAAAAAAAAAAATTGTTTTTCATAAAAGGAAACAAAATGACTGTTTTTTTTTGCATTGTACATGTACAGTAGAGTACAGTTTTTGCAACATACTGGTAACCCTTTTTATTCTCTCATTACTGTATTGTGTTAATTGATGTCCAGCAGCTAAATGGGTACAATGCTCACTTCTTATCTTAACCATAAACAACTGGGAGGTTTGTACGACTGTGGACAAAAGTTCGCTCCCTGTAGTGAAACTGAGACACGGGAATGAGTCTCCGAACTGACTTACCCTGATTGTTATCTGGTGCGGGTGTGCTGTGCGGGTCAATACTGCTTCAGTTTGGGAAGGGGCGAACTTTTGTCCACGATAGTACATAGACTATTTGCTCTTGATGGGAAAAGATGAGGATTTTTTTTAAATATGGGTCAAATTATATATCAGTATATATGTATTATATAAAAAAGAATGTGAAAAGGACAAATTTTGCTCACTGAATTGTACCATAATTATTTCACAATGATTTTGGAGTCCAAATCATCGCCACTAATGTCAGTCTCCTGCATCACAAACACTTTGTACACATGTTGATGATGCACTCCTAACTGGTACACATGCAACATGTAGAGAAGCACTTCTACCTCACTTTCCTCCTGGTCTTTAAGCACATCCCCTACACTGATGACTAGTTTGTTAGTGTCACTATTGCTGAAGCTCACACCCAAACTACCTATCATTTCTAATTTACGCAGCAAACCTACCAGTTCTTCAAACTCACGCTCTGATTTCCATAACATTTTACTTTTTTTTCTGGTTGTCAAGGCAACACTACTACAGCAAGGGGTCTTTCCACATGAAGTGTCACTGGAATTGCCAGATACTTTCTCCATGATGACTAAAACCACTACTAGTGGAGAGAGGGACATGGGGAGAGACCAAAATGGGAAGAAAAAGTTGCCACAAATCACAATAAATCATTCGAGTAGAAATGAGGCGCCAAACCTAAAAATCATGACATGGAAAATCCTGATTTGTATATACATGACTATCGTAGTTGTGGGACAAAAGGTGCTCATCATCTATTTACGAATACCATCATTTAAAGGTTCAGGCTCCTTGTGGACCAGAAGCTTAGAATTCAGTGTGCTGTGATCATATGACCCCCTAATAGGTCATCAGCCCTATGAGATCCACTTTCACTTTAAATTAAATCTTTAAGTAATTTGTACCTTGCATAAGGTATTTCACTGCAAAACTTCTAATCAAAATGCACTTATCTATTCTTCAGTCATTCACTCAAACTTTACAAAATTTTGACCGAGTTCCTTCAAGTTCCTAAGTTGCTTTATTGATTGTTAAACAAAATACAATTTACTCTTCTGGTAAGTAGATAATCTTAAAAGTCCTAAATTCTCTTTATGAAAAAAAAAAAAAAAAAATGAAATAAAAAAATACTGTACAGGTTACTTGTGAAATACTGTACTGTACTGTGCTGTACTGTAATCATGAAATATACATTAAATACAAGTTTAATGTCATGGGCCCAAATCATTAAAATGTAAATAATTTTCCTATACAGTAAACTGTAGCCAACCTTAATCCTTACATACATAAAGTACAAATAACGTTGCCAAAATACAAATACAGTTGGGTCTCACATTACGCGGTTAATGTAACCCGGAGGGTACCGCGGAAAGTGAGGAACGCGTAAAGTGAACAACATAACATATGGGATTAATTGAAATGGAGTCCAGGCCGATCCCCAAACTCCACTTTTTGACGACACACAACTATGTTGTAGTAAAAATATTATCTTAACTTTATGATGGCATGCACACACAATTAATAATTAAGAGAAATATCAATAATATTAGGTTTTTTAACACTTACATTAGTAGAAAAGATGGCTGGGCACACGGGGATGGGCAGTTGGTTCCGAGGCAGAGGGCAGATTATTGGCCCTCACCTGTATCACTTGTATCAATTGTATCACTATCCACCACAGAGGCTTGCAGGGCCTCTTTGTCAAACCCCCCAAAGTTCATATAAGTCCATATCCTCACTATAATTATCACTATCACTGACTTGGGCCGGCTGTAGTGGGTGGCGGGTGAAGAACTGGTAATGTTTTGATGACTGGGCGACCTTGTGCGCACCATTTTCGCGCCTCTTACACAACATGGCGGATGGCGGGAGGTTTGGATCCAAAAATGGCGCGGCTTGCCAGCCGCTCTCCGCGTAATGGGGTTCACGACCGCGGAATGTGAGCATGTTAGGTTCCGGCAGGGCACCGCGTTAACGGTGAACCGCGGAATGCGGGACCGCGTAATGTGAGGGTTGACTGTATAGTCTCATTTTTTTAAATCTGCCCAAATACTAAATATAACCTTTACTACAAAATCAGTAAAGCTTCAAACAACAAGTACAATTGATAATCATAGAATAGAATTCAACTAAAGAGACAATACTATAATTTCAAGACATTAAATCTTCCTTTGACATACAGTATAATTCCTCAAAGAAGTTTCTTTGTGTACAGTAATCCCGTTTTTTTCGCTTCTTTTTTTATCGCGGTTTTGACCATTCGCGTTTTTTTACTGAAAAATTTTATATACAGTATATAATATATCCTTTAAAAACAAAATTTTTAATTTTGCGCCATTTTCGATATTCCCATGCGGTGTGGCAAACAGACGCCTCTCTTTCCTGCCTCACACCCGCTGCTCCAAGAAGTCTCAGTCCACACGTACCTACCGTACTGTGAACGCTACTGTGATTACCTCTTCTGTTTGTCCTCCCACGTGCATTCCACATGGCTCCGGGACGTAAGCCAGCCTCATCAAAGGCAAATATTACTAGCAAAGACTCTAAAGTGACCAAGAGATCAAGAATAGTGAAGACCTTAACGGATAAAACAGTTTTATTGGACAAGCTCAGAGGTGGTATGAGCTATGGCTCGAGATGTGGTAAAGACTGACAATTCATTTGTGTATTTTGTCAGAATACAAGTCTTCAAGTGGAGGAATGTGGAAGAGGACTGGCTGGCTGGCGTGACTGCGTGAGGTGCGAACAGACGCCGGGACAGCAAGGAGAGGCTGGCAGGTGTTGCCGACCTCAGCGAAAAAAAAAAAATTATTTACTTGTAAATAAAATTTTTTAATATATAACTGTGTTTACGTTTTTCCATTATTATATTACAATATGATTAGTTTCAAATATAGTAATGATGTTAGTAAATGCCGGTACAGTGCATGAGTGATCAGTGTGACCACCGAGCCGTGAGTGGAGAGCATGGCGTGGTTAAGTGCATGACCTACCTGAGCTGTTTGGTGGCCACAGGTACAGTGATTCCTAAGAGTATTCGCGGTGTGATTCCTAAAAGAGTATTCGCAGTTTTGGCTTTTCGCGTGAGTTTCAGGAACGTAATTCTTGCAAAAAACACGGGATTACTGTACTTTACATATTTATACTGTACACACAAGTGATCTTTACTAAAGATCATATGTTTGGTTATTAATTTCATGTGAAAGTTCAATACTTATACCACAGTATTCAATATTTTTTTATTCTGAGAAGAATGTTGGTGGGATGACCATCACTTATATTTTGGAAGTGTTGCACCATAACTAAACTTAACACAGTTTATTAAAGAAGTACCCAGTGATGGATTATGATCTAATATTCTTAACAGCAGTCTTATTATCCTAAGGCAAAGTCTGACAATATTATAATGAGCTAAAACTCAAGATTCATTACAAAAGTTTATTCTTCCAGCACAACGTCTATCAGAGAAATTAATGAGCAGTTAGGTAACCTTTATACAGCATGACATATTATATGCTATTTTCAATCTCCCTGATAGAGTACAGCACTTGCAACTATAGTCAGTCATTCAATTGTACTTTTCTACTTCAAGCAGGTTAGATAGTTTTAAGTTTTGTATTTTTACAGCTTGAGCACACACCATTAAAAATCCCTGGAATCATATTCTTTCCTCGTTTAATGATAAGAGTACAGTATCTTGTTCCTTTTTCTCTTACCGTATTGTCATAATCACAGCAATAATTCTTTCATATTTTTTTTATTAAGAGTTAGCACTTACACACAGTTTCGTATTCATAATAAGACATTTTCATTACAATATACACTAACACATTCAGAAAAGTTGGAAGATTATGTTTTACATTCATTAAGAGGTTCTGCCCGAATATTTTCTAAATCTAGTCTTGAATCCAAGTCTTCATCCACTTCTCCAATGAGGGCCCTGGAAGAAACAGTTCACTAAATGTTATATACTTTTTGTTTCTTTTTCTTACAATTAAACCAAAAGTATTAACTTAAATGGGGGCTATGATTGAAAAATTCTTAAGCTCCCAAAACCTATTTTATGAAATGTAAATAAGTATTTAACACTTATGTGAAGATTCCCTCCCAGTCTCTTTTAGCTGCCTTTTATGACATACATCATATACACAGTAATGGTACTGTATAAGGCTCTGTGGGTAGTGGCATAAGGTTGTGCTGTTGATGGCAGTATGGAAGGTTGTGTTGTGGAGTGGTAGCATGAGAAGTTGCATGGGTGAAAATCACTATGGTACAGGTGGGTGCACGTCTTGTACCCCTACTTTTTTTATATCTCAAATACAAGTATAGTATACGAGGCATTGCGAGTAGCAAGGGCGAGCTGATGAAAACAATGTTTTGAGAAAAACGAATGTGATTTTTTCCTATTTTGGTCCATAACTCATAAAATTTTTTATCAAATTTCACAATTTTAGTCTAATTTTGTAGGTTTGAGGTAATACAACATGAATACATCTGTGAAAAATGTATAAGACTCCATAATATGCCTTAATCCTAATGGTAAGAACTACCTGTCCAGTTAAGATTCGTCGTCAACGACTACTGCAGCTTCCTGTGTCTCCTGTTCAGTCACCAGGTCCACATAGAACTGCTTGCATTCGGTTACGGTTGGTATGTACGTCATCAGAGCCTTAATGTTTTTACACTTAATTTGGCAGGGGGAAAAGGGCAAGAATCCTGTGTTCCTGGGTCGCACACGAAAGAACACTGTTTGAGCTACCAGGAACCATAAAAAAAAACCCAGATTTTCCCACACTTGGTCAGCTCGCCCTTGCAACTCAAATGCCTCATATGATCAATTGCTGGAGCGGGTGCTGAACTCAGTTCAGTTGCAAGAATCAGAAGCAGCTGGAGGAAGTTTAAGGAGTTGCTGCCTTTATTGACAGCAAGAGGACCTCCCCTCCATGTGAAAGGAAAGTTGTATGCAACTGGTATGAAAAGTGTGATGCTGTATGACAAGTGAAACATGGGCATTTACAGAGGATGACATATGCAGACTTGAGTGAGTTGAAATAAGAATTGTTAGGTGGATATGCAATGTGACAGTGAAAGAAAGGAAACCCTGTTCAGAGCAAAGGTTGGCGAGGCATTGAGAATATTGGCAAAGCTTTGCATAGAGATAAGCTGAGATGGTTTAGGCATGAGGAGAGAATGGAAGAAACTAGCTGGGTAAGAGATTCATGAGTCTAAATGTGGAGGGGAGGAGAGCCAGGGGCCAGCCAAGAATGACATAAGGAAAGGTTGTAAGAAATTACATTAGTGTTAAGAACCTTAAAAGAGAGGCTGCAAGACACTAAGTAGCATGGAGAGCTGTATCAGATATACCCGGCTAACCTACACAAGCTTGAAAAGTGGCCGTAAAACATTGATGATGATGATGATGATGATGATAATGCACAGTACTAAAAATCCACTAAATCTTATATCAGAATGTACCCCTTCAATACCAATTTGCACCCATGGGAAGTTGTAAATTAATATTTACCAAGGGATTATCAGACTCAGAGAGGATGCCAAATCAATAAACATGATCCTAAAACCCCTGAAAAATGACGTTATGTATATCTCACTAAATACACTAACAATCACCCAATCTAACTAGTACAGTATCTTCCTCCACCTACTGTTGAGCATGTTAAGCAGTTTGGGGCACATTATCAACTAAGCACTTGACTGAAGTGATCAAATTCTACTCAGAACTATAGTGCATTTTTCCCAGCTGAGAAGAGGTGCCCTGCCCCCTTCTCAAGAGTTACAGCTGATTTTCTGTTGCAAATCTATCCGATTTCGTCCTGAAGTAATGATGTATTTCTAAATGAGTTTATTCATAATCGCTGGGATGACTGTTTCTGACGAGAAAGACATTTAGCTAAATCATATAAATATACATACAGTACGTGTACACTCATTATCTCAAACATGAGCACATAGGAAGTTTATCAAAAATCTTATACTGTACTGTTCATGAATTAACTGTTAATCTCTGGTAGGAAATTCACACTTTTGGAGGACGCATTTAATATATAGGTACTTATTTTTACCCACAGTAAGGCATACTAAGATAGATTACATGTCAGTAATACTACATTATGCAAAAACTAACATTTTAAAAGATCAAAATCACATTGAAGTATTACACGGCCATCAGCAGAGGCGGGAAATATGACTACAAACAACTTCATATTTCCCGCATCTGCTAACAGCGGATAATATTTCAATGTGATTCTGATCTTTTAAAATGTTAGTTTTTGCATAATGTAGTATTACTGACATGTAATCTGTCTTAGTATGCCTTATTGTGGCATACAGATTTCTGATAAACTTTCTACGTGCTCATGTTTGAAATAATGAATGTATGTATCTTTATATAATTTAGCTAAATATCTTTCTTGTCAGAAACGGTCATCCCAATGATTATGAATAAACTCATTTAGAAATAAAGTACGCCCGGATAATTTGCGGTCCTCTATTATTCGCGGATGACACCTTGGATGTACCCAAGAATGTCTGTTTTAAAGTTGCCGGCATTTTTGCGGCCGGAACAGGGAGCCATTCGTTCTAGAGACAGTAATTTACCTTACCTGTATATATATATATATATATATATATATATATATATATATATATATATATATATATATATATATATATATATGTGTGTGTGTGTGTGTGTGTGTGTGTGTGTGTGTGTAGACACACACAAAACACATACAAATAAATAATAATGGGAAAATCCTCTCACAAATAACCCAGAAACAAATGTAGTATTAAAAATGTTGAGTCTACCCTCACGTCTAGTCCATGCTTCGTTATTAATACAGCACAGAGTAGATTTGAGGGTAGACTCAACATTTTTAATACTACTGTACATTTGTTTCTGATTATTTGAGAGAGAATTTTCCATTATTATTTATTTTTGTGTGTTTTGTGTGTGTGTGTCTACAGACACATATATTAAAAAAAAAAATGTACCCCCCTCCCCCCCGGGTCAGCAATTGTTATTCGTGGATTTGACGATTTGCGGCCATTTTGAGAACCCAATCCCCACGAATTTGAAGGACATGCTGTACATCATTACTTCAGTACAAAATCGGACAGGTTTGCAACAGCCAATCAGTTGTAACTCTAGAGGAGGGGGTGGGGCATTTCTTTTCAGCTGGAAAAAAACACACTATACTATGGAAACTTGAACAACATTTATCATATACTATGGCAAAAACTACAGGTACTCAAGTGATACATACAGTAAGTAAAAAAAAAAAATTTAGGTGCATAAAGTCAGAGTTGGAACACATACTGTACTGTAGTTCCTGTAAGGCACCCGAGGCTCACACAAGAACAAAGTAAAAGGGTGGCAAAGGTACAGAAATATGCATGTATTTTATTCAGGGATGGAATTACACAAGTTACCACAACAATCTTCTAACTTCAACCCCTTCATTACAAAGCCACACAAGAAGTGACTGCACACAATATTTTTTTTCCAGTGTTGATAAAATTTTTTTACATGATATTCTATAATGTTAATGGTGAGCACAGTTAGCAACTTAGCATTATAAACAAAACACTCCATTACGTAATTCCAAAATAGTATATGTTTCTACTTTCAACTTTAAGTAAAATTAAAAAAAGAAAAAAAAAGAATGTCAAGTCTTTTGTACTGATTTCAGGTAAAACAAGTGAAATATAATAATCATTCAATTTAAATTTGTACTATAAAATAAAAACAATATCATTGAGCAGATTAAATGTAGGCAATGCAGGAACGGCTGCCAACTCAAAAATCAACGAGAGAAATATCGTGTATCATCAGTACAATGTACAGGTACAATCACCCAAATATAGTAAATTAATTCATGATTTCCAGAAACTTTCAATCAGAATGTGGTATCTGGCAACTACCAGACCTACTTCATTTTCACTTTTGTTTTGTCGAGGTGGAATGCATTTTTGTGAAATATAAACAAAAATTACAGTACTTAATAAATGCTAAAGCACTTTCTCCTTCGAATATTATAATGTAGTGAAAAAAGTGGAAGTGGGTCCCATAGGCACGACTGCCGGTAAGGGGTGGTGTGGATACAACACACTGTATACTAAGCTTCGCTACACAAGGAGGCAGCATGGAACAAGAGGCGAGCACTGTACAGTATTCGTTTGACTGCACTGAAATCTACAGTAATACTGTACCTGTATAAGAAAATCATAAAACACCCAATCTCATTAACCTTTCTTAAACCCAACAAATTAACAGTACTGTACTTACACATTATCTCCTCTGACAACGTACAGCCCCAGGATAACTTGTTCAACTCCTCGGTGAGAACTGTAGACCCGCTCATGACACTCATCCATGATCAGATTCACTGTCTGGTCAAAGCCCTTTAGCGTTCCCTAAATTGTGCAACAAAATTTTTTATGTAACATCAGGTAAAAAATATCAGTAGTGTTTAAAACTAACAACTTCAAAAAACAGACAATGCTAATTAAAAATTTCTACTCATACCCTTACAAATGTACATAATCATAATATCCATACATGCATGATTCTACAAAAGTGTTAACAAAGTTTTATGTTCTTTGGCAGAACCATCATGAGACGTGAGAGAACATATTGCTTTAACACATAGTATTACAAAATACTAAATGTTGTGAGGGAAGGTTTGGGTGGGAAAAATACCAACACATACCTGCAACCAATCTAGAAAACCAGTCTCATTCCTTTATCTGAGGCACATCACCCCAAAAATTATGCCTTTGACAGGTTTTACTGTACTGTAATTGTTTCCAAAATGAAGCCTTCCAAAACTTGAGCACCATACAGATTTGTGAGGAGCTTAGGCAATTCTGCCAAATATGCTGAAATAGCCAGACTCAGTCTTATAGTCTTATGGTCTTATGTCACATTTACTGTACAGTATTTCCCAGCTCATAAGACACACCCTAATATAACTAAGGTTGTTTAGGGAAAAATATTTTGATAGTCGATTAGCAGAATTAAAATGTGTTGCTTTAGACAGTTCAGGTATCCCTTGTTTAGCGTTAAGTGAGTTTGGCGATAATTTTTTCTTTCACCTTTTCTCAATGTTAGGTCAAAATTTGGTTTTGCGATAGTTTGACTCACTGGGAAGGGGAAAAATGGGGATGAGGTGGCCTGTGAAATGGCATGTTGCCATTGTTACATGTAATAAAATTATAAAAGTTGTGGAAAAATCGTTACAATATTCTAATGTGGCCTAGAAGTCAGGAAAATATACCGGTAATATAAAACTATACAATAAGAAAAATGAAGTGCATGTGTGGAGGCAGTGGACTGTAACTGCATCATTGACTTGCCACCCAGCCATGCTCTCCCTCCCCAAATGTGAAATCATGGCATACACAGCACAGCAGCAGCCACATACATCTCCAAGTCAGCTACACATCTCCCAGAGGATGGTTTGAGTGTCGAAGGAGCTATTTTTTTTTTACATAAAATGTGTGCTATTATATTTTGTGATATGCTATGTATCAATTTTATTGTTTATCACAACAATTTTTCTTTATTTTTAACAATGTAAAGGCAATACTGGTACTTCCGAGCTATTACGGTAAAGAGTAGTTGGTCCGCCTACTTGTAGATGGCGTTGGTTTACCAAAACAAGCGGTGGCCAAGTGGTAAGCAGGATAATGTTCCATAAGTTTAGGAATTATGGCCCAGTAATATTTATAAGCTATTCATCATACCAATTTTAAGTCAATAATTAGTTTCTCATTATCTTAGTACTGTAAAGTATAAGCTTGTGTAATATTTCTGGGTCATTTGGGAACTGTTTTTGATGTTTTTGGGGTTCATGTGTGGAACAGAACTTCCTCCCTTAAATTTAACCATCGACCGATATGATGCAGAGTGATTTTAAAGAAAAATGTGTGTCTTATGGACAGGGAAACATGGTAACCCATCTGTTGTATGTAGTCAATTTCTCATTCATCTTCTTTTGGAACTAGAGTTTTATCCTCTCATCCTGTAACTTTACAAATAGCATCTTGCTTAGTTTTTCATCAACACCTTTGTTCCAAACTAATGACTTGAACTCTATGTTTCATACTATTTAAACAAGGTCAGGTAATATACTTAAACACACCTTTCATTGCAATAATAATAATAATAATAATAAAAATAATAATAAACAGAACAGCTAGGTACCTGCAGGCACATTTAGACAGTCACAAAAATTCATATGAAACCAAAGAAACATTATAGGCTCTTTTGCAAGAACAGCATAAGCCAATAAACATCTTATTACAATATTGTTATCCTCTACCTGATCATGTACTGTATAGCCACTTACAAGACTGTACAGTTTAAAAAAAAAAAAAAAAAAAAGTGACCTGTAAAGAGATATTTGGCAATTCAATGTTATGTTCTTTAAAGAAATGGTAACTTTAATGGTGATTACTTACCACAATGTTTCTCCCATCAGCAGTTATAACTGACACTAGATCTGCATAAAGGGTTAAGGAATTATTCATTTAATTAGGGGTTCAAAGGTAAGGGCAGTCAACCTACTAGTCTAGCCATTTTCAAGTAACCTGAGTAATTTTAAACTGTCCTTGGAGAAAACTACCATATCTGATATATTTTGTTCCCTAACAAGATTTCAACAAAAGCAGCTACAGTCCTATTATTTTTTTAACATAAGCTTTTGATTAACCTCAAATCATCACTTGAGAAAAAAATTGTGGGGTTACAGCAGATTAATGACTGGTAATTTAAATTGTTAACTTTTTAGAGTGGACTGAATCCAAGTTATGTAACCATCTAAAACTGATCTAAGCTGCTCATTTACAACATGAAAGTTTTCATCATTTTTATGTAAATTATATACAATACCCATATTAAGCCTTCCATTTTGTGATGTTTATGTTTTAGTGCTTTTGTCCCACTAAAATCAAGACATTACTCGTTCAGTGATAGTTTTCACGAAGTTGCCTCTACACTAAGTGGGGTTACATGGGCTAGGTAATTGGAAGTAGATTAGAATTGTTCAAAACACATCAAAAGTCATCGGAAAAACATAATTTCAACCCTACCTAATCTAACCTAACCAAAACCTCTCTCGGACGGTGGTACAGTAACTTATAACTCCTAAAAGTGGGTCCGACTAATTACCCAAATGTAGCCAAATATAGCCGGAATGAAGTCAAATAATGGTCCTAGATGAATAAATCGGACTGCCAATCACTTCTCGACTAGTATTTGGTGTCAGAAAGTCAAAAAAAATTGGTAAACTTAATTTAATCTGAGTTAATAGATCAAGTGCATGTACCTAACCTAACCTAACCTAACACAACACAACTCCGATTAAATTAAGTTTACCAATTTTTTTTTTACTTTATGACACCAAATAATAATCGAGAAGTGATTCACAGCCCGAATTACGCTTGTACGACCATCATTTGACTTCATTGCGACTACATTTGGGTAATTAGTCGGACCGCCTAAAAGTAGCTGGATGGCAGACACGATGATAATAATAGAGAGGAAAATACCATATTTTCCCACAATAAGACTAGATGTGATGGCTGCCCAGAACTGTACACTATTTTGTCTTGCTAAAAAAATTAAAAAGATAGCTAGTTACTTTCTTCAGTAAAACTGCGGTAAGTTCACTTGTTCAGCCCGTACACAAGACTGTGCCGGTAAACAGTACCAACAAACACAACAAAATCAATAAGATCATATAAAGGATACGATTGACATAACTCTCAAGAGTATTTGTCATCCTGCCAGACGTGTACCTCAGAAAAGTGTGATTAAACAAAGAGATACAGTGACTGAGGCCCTTCCTGGAGTGTGGCGGCACAGAGTGTTTTGAAACGTTTGATACACAACTACTGAGCCTCGCCATGCGTGTTGTGTCTCTCCGTATATACATTTATAAATAATCAAAGCAAATATTATTTAAAATATATATAACACTTATTTCCAATGTGATTCTAATGAAAAAACTCTAATTAAAGGATTTCAATCGTTTCCGAAAGGATTAAGTGACATTATGACTGTTAAAGTTTGATAATTTTCTTTAATCTAAAAATTAATTGATTAAACATTAAAATGTTAACCTCGCAAAATGTATCACGAATGTGCGTGGGTAAGATACACTAGTGTATACCGTATTTCAAAGTGGGCATATGTAGGATGCAGGTAGCAAGGGAGCAGAACAAAGACAAAACACCAATAAGAAAGATGAAGCGATCTGGTTGAGCCCAGATTCTTTCTACTCCTACTGTATTTCAGTTTCACCACTTTTCCTTCAACCCTAATAATCTTCTTTCACCTCTTAACTAAAGACTTCGTATCGTATCGATGCAGGTAGACGTGGGCACAGGTGTAGTTAGACGTGGGCAGATGTGAGTAGACACTGGGCAGGTGTAGTTAGAAGTGGGTAGGTGAGGGTAGATGTGAGCAGGTATGGGCAGGTGTGAGTAGGTGAGGATAGACGTGAGCAGGTGTGGAGGAGGGTCAGGCCAGTGATGTGTGAGAGGAGGGTCAGGCCAGTGATGTGTGGTACAGGAGGGCCAGGTCAGTGATGTGTGATGGAGAAAGACAAGAGCCAAGCCAGTGATGTGTGGTGGTGGTAGTGGAGGAGAGCCAGGCCAGGTCAGTGATGTGTGGTGGTGATAGTGGAGGAGAGCCAGGCCAGGCTAGTGATGTGTGGCGGTGGATGACGAGGGCCAGGCCAGTGAGTATGGTGGTGTGTTGGGGGAGGGCCAGGTCAGTGATGTGTGGTGGAGGAGGGCCAAGCCAGTGAATGTGGTAGTGGAGGAGGAGGTCAGGTCAGTGAGTGTGGTGGTGGTGGAGGGCCAGGCCAGTGATATGTGGTGGAGGAGGAGGGCCAGGTCAGTGATGTGTGGTGGAGGAGGAGGAGGGCCAGGCCAGTGAGTGTGGTGGAGGAGGAGGAGGCCAGGTCAGTGATGTGTGGTGGAGGAGGAGGAGGGCCAGGCCAGTGAGTGTGGTGGTGGAGGGCCAGGCCAATGAGTGTGGTGGTGGAGGATGAGGAGGGCCAGGTCAGTGATGTGTGGAGGTGGATGAGGAGGGCCTGGCCAGTAATGTGTGGTGGAGGGCCAAGCCAATGAGTGTGGTGGTGGAGGAGGAGGAGGGCCAGGTCAGTGATGTGTGGAGGTGGATGAGGAGGGCCAGGCCAGTAATGTGTGGTGGAGGAGAGCCAGATCTGATATGCCCGCTCGTGTCTTTAATTTCTCCTTTGTTTAACATTTTAACAGCCTTTTGGTTTGACTTAACTTCACTTGCAATCCGCCTCTAAACTTTTTCAGCCTTCTATACTCTGTACCCATCCCTTGAATTTCTGAGATTTCTTCATATATAACAGTCTCCTAGTAGTCCTGGAACCAATGGATTTGGTCTTGTGTATATTTTTATCAATTAAATAGTTCACTTTACTGTCTATGATATTCAGGGTAGTTTAGACTGTACGGGTCCACTGGTAGGATGCTTTATTTTTACTGAGAAGAACCAGCCAGCTCCCCAGTGGTCCACACCAGAGGATAATTACCCAGTCATAGATTAACAAACATAGGATCACATCCTATCACACTAATTTATTTGCCACAAAATAGTAAAATGTGATATTCATGACCAACATTATATTTGGGGTTTACTGTATATTTTTAAAGAAAATTTTTAAAAGTATTCTGGGATGTATCTCAATTTATAACATGGGTTTCTATGAAAAATTAATGTTTACTTAATATGCAGATTTTCAGAAATTCATCATATATGTCAAGTGGGCACTTAGCTGGACAGGATCTTTCCTGTCCCTCTATCTCACCAGGCATGAATCTTGACAAAGCATGTCTGATACTCCATGCCAGCTATAAATAGCTGATTGATCCTTAAATCTCAATTTATAACCAACCAGAGATAGTCTCATGTTTAATCATAAGCCCATGACCCAGGATAAGGTTTTAGTTTGCTTCAGTATCCCTAAAGGAGGAAGGAGGGAATGAGTTAACCAATGTGTTTGGTCATTATATGAAGGTTAAGGATCAATCCCCCTATATACAAACTACAGGTAAGTACACCTTGAGAAACTACACTTATTCAATGTCAGCAGAAAAGATTGAGGATGGAGGAAACAAAAATCTCTACCTACAAGTACAGTTTACACCTGTTATAGAAAATTTGCACTACTCGACCAAGATCATGGAAATGTACTCACCTTTAAAGTTCCCTAGGACCATGCAGATTTGGTAAGGTAAATATTCACTAAGGTACTTGACAAAAAGGTCTTCACCAAAGCCCAGCCTTCTCTACTCTGGATCGATGTGAAGGACAGGAAGCCAAAGATGATGCCATGCCTGTAAGATCATGTACCCAAGGGAATCTATCAGGCTGTTCATACCTCATTGACTTAATAATAATACTACACTGTACTAAAAATATAGAATATGCTCTAGAAGCCTCAATTCTAGATGGGATTCAGTACAACCGGACCATGACCAAAGTGAGCTGTCTGTAAATAATTGTGAACTGCCTTAATCAAAGAGAATGATGAAAGCCACTTACATTTCCAGGCGAGGAAACAAATACACATACTCAGGTGTAAGGCATGGAGTCTGATTCTTCGGCAAGAATTTCAGACTCAGTCTAAGATTAACCCAAGACAATGAACCAAATGAAGCAAAACCTTCCTCCACCCTCAGAGCTGGGAAAGCAAGAAGGAAAGTAGCCTTCATGGTGGCAATCTCCAAATCCACTCTGGAAATCACTATAATTCCAGGAAATGAATAACAGGTCCTACAGACTAACTGCATCTGGGGTTCATTTTATGGATTGATTAGCAGCAATGACATGTCATTTTTGCACTTACCACACACAGTAAAGGTTGAGAATGAATTGAACTTGTGAATTCCCATTTTATGGTTGGAGAGGTAAGAAGATATGACACAAACCCACCTGGCACCCTTTGGCCCTCCAAAGAATATGAATGTAAGGTTTAAAACTTAGAAGATATATATATATACAGTGCCCACCCGGGCACAGGTCATCAACACACAATGGGGCCTAGGGGGCAAAAAAATCAGAGTAAAAAAAATAAAAAATAGAAAAGAAAAAGATTATATTAATCTACACCACAAAGATGGTACACTGACACTGTGCAGTTGGTTTGAACCAGAGGTTTATTCAACATGGGTTGATGAAATTGACTCACAAGGTAAGTGTAGTCAATGTTACAATTTCCTGAAGGCTTAACAGATGCTGAATCATATAGAAGTGATGGATGACTTCACAGGTCACATCATCTTTCCCCAGTCAATAGAGGGGAAGTCACAGGTGCAGTCCATTACTAATTGCCTGAAGGAATTGTACCATGTTCATTATAGAAACTGAAAAGTATTTAATGAGTAGTAACTATAAAACCATTCTCTGAAACAGAGGGTTCAAACTAAGATCCTTCATTAATTCTCTTTGTGCAGTATACAAAACTTTAATGCCATATTAGTTCTAGCTTCGTATTTGAGAAAAAAAGGTAACATTCATCCTCACAGCATTTTATTGTTCATGTTCATACATTTTTAACAGAATTCAGTGCAAAGTTACATACTTTACAGTAATTTCATTTTCCCAGGACCTGTTTCACAGCTGACCATTCATCTGGAGACAGAGCTTGTAGGTTTGTTCCAACAGTCTGTTGTTTGTGTTCCAAGTCATTTAATGCATTAACCTTGCCGCGAAGACCATTACGCAGGTTGTTGATTTCTGTGTCCAACTGCTTCTGCTCTATGGAGAGATAAGTACAGTACTGTCAATCATTTAGCAAAATCTACCAAGATAGTATAATATGAATCACTTCCCATTTCATATCAATAAATTACTGAAATATAATGTAAATTGAGAACAAAAAAAATTATTTAAAAGGTAATTGAGCATCATGGAAATCAATTGAATGATTTTATTAAGATAAAGTATCTGTGCTTTGCTTTTTCTCATTATTTAAAAGGTAATTGAGCATCATGGAAATCAATTGAATGATTTTATTAAGATAAAGTATCTGTGCTTTGCCTTTTCTCATTATTCTGTATTATTGTAACAAAGCTAAACAAACTCTAGATTTTTTCCTCACAATCCATCCAAGCCCTTAGACTGTACTCAAAATGTGTCCTCCCTAATCTGTTCTGATTGCTGTCTTGTATCTGCATCTTGAGTTCTTTACTCCTCTCTTAAGTCCTCACCTTCACAGACATATATTATCTGGCACTATGATGGATCTAACTGCTTTGATTTATGGTCATTTTAATCACAATTCACAAAGAACTTAGAAATGGACCCATCCACTTCTGCTGACATCTAACACACCATTCACCTTAGTTTGGAACTCTGCATCCCCAACTTTGTCCGTGCAAAGACACTAGTGTCCCCTCCCTGGTTCAACTTTTTGTCAAATGGCAAATGAACTAAAAAAATATCTCCTAATAACTGCAGAAGCATCACAAAACCGTTTAACTTACAACACACACATTATTGTTTGGAACCTTGCTAAATGTATTTGTAACAAAGAAAATAAAAAAAACCTTTATTCCAAAACAAAACCCCTTCACTCTAAACTGAATAATGGCAAATCTTTTAGGTCAATAACTTAGCCCTTTTACATAATTAAGTCATTTTACAACTTCTCTTAACTCAATCATACCCCCTTTCATCATCATTGCACAAATGTTACCATGACCCAAGATAAAGCCAATCTTCTGGGTTCTTTGCTGTTTTCTCAAAATTTAATCATTGATCCTAAAAATAATGTTCCCTTGACACCTACTTTAAACTCACCCCATCCCAAGTAACCACTAAAATATTATACCTGTTTTGTATTTTCTGCTCTACCTTGCCTTGACCCATATAAAGCTCCTGGCCCTCATGGTATCCCACTCCTCATCCTAAATATCGATGCACCTTACTTGAGTCTGTGTTTCCTGCCTTAGAAATTAGTCAAAGTCCAACCCACTCCATTTAATGAAAATCTATCAATTTCCTCCAACTACAGTATCATCCCATAGCTCTCATCTCAACCACCTACAAATTCATGCAATCTTTCATAAACACTACACGTACATACTACAGTTAAATGACTATTTTGCTCTAACACTCAATATGGTTTCCATTCCAGCCATTCCTGCACGTGGCACTATGTCAATAGCATTGCCCTTCAGAGGGCACACTGTCATATGTACATCATACAGTGAAATTTTTTTTTTAAATCTAATATAAGCTAAAGTTAAGTTTTCTTTCTTGTCTAGAACTCTAATACAGTGTTGTATTTTACTTCTGAAATTTGAAACTATAACAAGACAACTATTGAGCAAATATTCACCAACCTTTGTCTATATTTTCAATAGCAAGACTTTTTGGTATCTTCAAGAACATATTACCAACACAGATCCATGTCTTGGCAGCCGGGCTTGAGCTAATCAAGTCATTAGTTCGCAGCTGCCTCAGTGCCTCCCTGTTGGTATTTCGTCGACGGTCAAGAGTGATAATCTCCTGTCGGTCGCTAATAACTTCTTCAGCAGCTGTTTCAACCTCCTCTAAATATTTCTGCACTACTTCTGGAGACTTGGACATGGTGTCAAACTGAAACAAGATTATCATGCGTTGATATAATCTGTACAATACATATTTCCTTTATCAATTTACTCAGTTTGATGCAAGTGCCACTTTACATACTTTATTTTACGGCATATAAGACAATTTTTTTTCCCCAAAAATGGCAAAAAAAAAAAATCACCCTGTGTCCTATATGTAAAGTTGCAGGTCCCTGCAGGCCAATGAATCCCCCAGATGATGGCTGAGCCAGTTGAGAACCTGAGCTCTCTTTTAGGCACCTGATATATACTATACATTTATCTCAAGGAAGTATTATATAACATTTAGTAACATCTGGAATAGTACAATAGCATGGTGGTAATAAGAACATCTCATAATGTTACCACGGTTATCACTTCAATATTTATTTTTTTAAATTATTTATTTTATATTTTTTTTTTATTATAAGCATATACTGTACATAAATAACAGTGGAATTGAAAAACATAAGTATAATGGGGGAGCAGTACAACATGGGTTGTACAGTATTAAGGTTGAACAAGAGGACAGAGCTGTCAAGATTATGTCTAGTTGGCAAATATGTTTATTGCAATGGTAATTTCTTCATCCAACACATGATCAGAGACAGCTATGTACTGTATTAAGACAAAATATGACAGTGAATACACTTCAAAATCCTTGTAAGGTGTAACAATTGGTACTGTACAAATCACCTGATGACTTTCTCCAAAGCAAGTCTGCAAGGCTAACATAATTATTTGAATAATTCAGTTGCTGCTGCTCCAGTATCTCATGCACACACACACGTATCATGAATTTTATTTTGCAGCATTATGATTGATTGATTTCTGGAATTTAGGCTCAAAGCCAAACACTGGAGCCAATTGCAACACTATGCATGGAGCTACTAATGTACAGTATTGGTATTTGCAACATGAATATTATCTTTAATTAGGACACTCCAACTATATTAAGTGAATGTAATAACTACAATAGGGAAAGAGAAAGATTAGAAAATATGAGTTATTACATTTTTGAGCTGTGCAGCAATCATCACTAAGGGCCTAATAATACAATATACAGTATGCTATAAAGTTCAAACCAGATATAAACATGAACAGGGTTAAGCTGAGGGCAGGAAATTCTTTTATGTTTATGAACACCAACCTACTGTATCTACTACATATACCAGTACAGTATATACTGTACTGTACTGTACAGGGTATTACAAATAAAAGGACATTTACCCATCCTGGCATCATGACTGGAGACTTCTAGTTACTGTACTGTATATGGAAGTAAAGTTGTTAATAATCTGGTTCATTCAGCATTCTCCTTATTTCGATCTCTTTTCTTTGATCTTCTGTCTTCTGTTTCTTTCTTTCCCTCCGGCTAAGTGTATTATGTCGTTCAACTCTTTCACCTGGTTTACACACTCTTTCAACAGCATCAGTATCAGCTGGTCCAAAGTGTGTGACTCTTGCAATATCTTTTTTAACATTTCCTAGACCTTCCCTGTCTCTCTTCAGTACAGTTTTTACAGGAAATTTGGTCCCAGAACTTTGAGGACCAAGACCCTTTTCTGTATCCCAGCCTTGATTAACAAGGAGCTGGTAACCTTTATTGCTCGGAGGAATGCCATACATGGTTTTATTTGCCCCCATCCCAAGCTTGAACTGGTGGACAATAGAAGTCTCATGCTGTATTTTTGTGCTCTCTTTTATAGTCTTTTGGCAAATGTCGCAGAAAAACTCCTCTGTTAAGGATTTCTTTTTCAAATGAACGACATTTACATCTTCAGGTGACTGGTAATTACTGTCTTTCTTTTTACTACAATTTATCAACATGTCCACAATTTTTCTATGTCCTTTCATAGTTGCCAAATATATAGCGGTGTTACCCTTGCTGTCCCTTGCACCCGTTCTTGCTTTGTGTTCAAGTAATAATTGCACTGCATCCTTGGCACCAGCACATGCTGAAACCATCAAAAGTGACCAGCCATATTCATCTTTTGCATTAACATTAAAACCATTGGTTACCATTTCTCTCAAATTAACTGAGTCATTATTCTGAGCAAATTTCATAGCCTTATGTATGGACTGAGGACATTCTTTTTTTCCACTGTACCATTTTTGGTTGCTGTTTTCCTCTACTTCATCACAGTCATCTTTGTCTAAGTTGGGAGCTCTTTCAGAATTTCCAATTTCAAGCTGTTTGTGATCAACACTAGAACTGGGATGAGAACAATCCTCAACTAATTCCTCATAAAACTTTTTGGCATCTTCCCCATCAAGTGACATGTATATCTTTTTCTGTTTTTCCTTTTGCTCAAGTGGTATTTCTGGTTGTGCTTGTACAAATACTTTCCACTTCATGTGGGCAGTAGCCAATGCCTTCCAGTTTGGATGAAGATGATCTGTGTTATCCATCTGAAATAGTTAAATCAGGAGTTAGCCAGTACAGTAAACTACAAATGACAAATTTACATGATTGTGAGTGCCATTATGCACATACAAAAAACAAAGCAAAAAGTACAGAAAAAACATGTAAATGCTATAGTGTTGTGTAAAAAACTGGCTAACTCCCAGGTAATACAGGGGTACTGTATATTGGTAACGTGAAACTGACAAATTTAGACACAGCTCGTATTATTCTTAACTTGTACTGTACAGTATTAACTCTTCAAACAGGGACGTGAGTTCCGATTCCAAACATAAAAGCTAGATTTTATTCCAAAGTATTGCTGAAAGGTTTAGGTAAGGGAATTATTGGGTAGGTGCCTGAACATACAGCCTGGGTCATGAAGTAAGACCTGCACTAGAAGAAAAATATAAAGGGTTGTACTCCAACTCGGCCCATCTCAGATAACCAACTCGGCCCATCTCAGATAACCAACTCGGCCCATCTTGGATAACCAACTGGGACCAGGGCTGCCGCCCACCCAACTGTCTTAGATATTTTGAGCACTATGAACACGTCCAATAAAAGGCAAAGGGAAAACACAATGTTGAATTAATGTTGTTTCATGAACACCAAAAATATAAATACACATATACCTGTTACATACGTATGCTGTATACGTAAAAATCAATACCTGTATACATTTGCAATCACTTTGTGTTATGACTGCAATCTATTTCTCTCTTGTAAAATTTATCGTTTATTTTAATTTAGATTTTACGCATTGTCGTTTCCATTTTTTTTATCATGCAAATAACATCTCCAGAAAATTTGGTGCAATTCCATAAGTGCCTTATTAGTGATAATCGTCTGCTCCAACTTATCCGGGAGCTTAAATTCTAATATATTACCTACCTTCTTATAACTAAGATGAGTCCAAATTGGGGTCCGACTAATTACCCAAATGTACCCAAATGTAGCCGCAATGAAGTCAAATAATGGTCCTAGATGAATAAATCGGACTGCCAATCACTTCTCGACCAGTATTTGGTGTCAGAAAGTCACAAAAAATTGGAAAACTTACTTTAATCTGAGTTAATAGATCGCGTGCATGTACCGAGGGAGCGAGGAATTACCCAAATGTAGCCGCAATGAAGTCAAATGATGGTCGTACAAGCGTAATTCGGGCTGTGAATCACTTCTCCATTATTATTTGGTGTCATAAAGTAAAAAAAAATTGGTAAACTTAATTTAATCTGAGTTGTGTTGTGTTAGGTTAGGTTAGGTTAGGTACATGCACTTGATCTATTAACTCAGATTAAATTAAGTTTACCAATTTTTTTTTACTTTATGACACCAAATAATAATGGAGAAGTGATTCACAGCCCGAATTACGCTTGTACGACCATCATTTGACTTCATTGCGGCTACATTAGTCGGGCCGTCCAAATTGGTGTACGTCATACTTGTTTACATGCATTAACACCTCACATACCTAATACCTAAGACTAACTTGTATATCGCTGTTGTTATACCTCTTTAGTGTGTAAATTCCTTCTTTATACAGCAGATTCTTCTCTTTCTCCTCGTAATTACTTAATACTGGGGTCTGTTAGTCCTTGTGTCTTCGGGTCGTTTATTTACCTTGACTATATGGGAGAACGAGCCTAGGATATTTCTATGGGCAATGGTGTTAAAAATACCACGAATTAAGAAAGGATTTATTTTTTTCAGGAAATTCTAACCAAAACTAGATATTTTATTTAAATCAAACTTTTGTTACGTTTATCTTTTGGTTAAGATCGTCTATGAAGAAAAGCATTTAAGCATTCTTATTCGTGGTGTTTCGCAACATTTATTATCATCATGAAGATTAGGAACCTCTGTTTATTTCACTTGATGAGTAAATAAATGCCTTGATGCTAATTTAACCTAACATATTTAGTGTCAAGGCCTTTAAGGGTGATAGTCTACTAACCATCTGTGTACGGGGTCCCTATCTGCTGAAAAAAATCGTCGTAGGGAAGGGGTTATATGAGATAAGCAGATTCCTTATCTTTGTGAGCTCCGTGCTTTGTAAACATTTTTTTTTGTATGTATATTTTCTCTTCCGTGTAACGTCAGCAAGGTGTGAGAAACTCTCAATAAGAACTAACAATTACCAAATATTTATATCACGCTCAGTTGTAATCACACTACTATAGTCTACCAGAGAAATCGTTTACATACGTTTTACACATATTATCATGCATAAAAATACTTAAAAACCTATAACTATTTAGAGGTGTTCATGCATACAAGTTGTGGTTAACTGTGACAATATTTTTTTTTTATAATTCGCGATATTCTTTTTTATTAAAAAAAGACTGGCCCTATGGAAATAAGAACCTGATTATTATTATTATTATTATTATTATTATTATTATTATTATTATTATTATTATTATTGTTGTTGTTGTCATATTATTATTATTATAAAATCCAATATTATATTAATTACCAATTCTTAAAAAGGATGTAAAACTTTTCTCTGGTCAATGTTCTCGCGTTAATGTATGAGATGAAACGTTTATTTATATTGGCGTCTGGGATGGTCAGGGTCAAGACGAGTCCATTCTGACGGATGGGGAAGTATATGTAATGTAATCATTGGAGCATTTAAACTCCTTTCAGAAATAAATATATCAATGTTCCATCAAATTTAGTAAACATACTAATTTATTAGATCATTTAAATGTCATAACTGACGCGTAAATGTGCGTTTTACATCAAGACTTATAAACCAGGGATTGACTCACGGCTTAAAATGGATTCGTCCGACACGTGGGCGCGCTCATGACTGTTGCCAACTATTTTTGCACATAGCCGAATTATTCTTTCCTGAAGTAACGAAATGTCTATTTATCCAATAAACTATGAGAAATTATTATGCTAGTAGATAAAATGTCACTTTATCGGTACTGCATCATAGAAACAAATTTATATAATGGTAAAGAGAGGGGATTGGCCAATCAACTTCTTTTCAGCTGTACGCACAGGTAGAGGACCTAGGGCTGATTGACCCAAAATGTTGTAAGACTATGAATCAACTTGTAATTTCGCTCGTTTCGATACTAATACAATATCAGTACAAAAGACGCACACGTCGGCATATTGTACATAAGTATGTCCAATATTGTTAATAATAATAATTCAGTTAAATAGTCATACAAGTTTACGATTGATTTGTTATGTATGTAGACAATACAGGTTTACAATTAATGAAACAACGAAGATATAGGAAGTACAGTACAGTACATAAACCGTCAGGGTAGGGTTCTTTATCACTTTTTGTATACCTGCACTCTGTATGTATACTATATACTTACACTGTAAATATCTACAAGCTGAATCAATGTGATCTTTATGACGATTTTACTGAACATCTATCTATCAATATGTATGTATGTATGTGAAAACTTACCAGACAGTAGAACTTAAACTAGGTTAGCATGATCAATAAACAGACATGGATGGCCGTATGCACACATGGACGCAAATGACCCCCCCCACACACACACACCAAGTTCAGTAGGTCATTGTCACTGAACTTTCCTCACACTCGCTCACACGTTTGTTATAGAAGCTTATTACTGTACATAGAAGGCCATTTATACTAATTCAAAAATGTGTTGAGACTTGCCATTCATAGTACATTTCGTCGACCATATTGTTGACTTAATATGTGTCTTGGTGCATTTGTGTGTACTAGTCTATCAATAATAAAAATTTATGAGAGATAGAATTAAGAAGAGGTATAGAGAAGTGATAATATATACAGATATCTTTTAAATGAGTCTAAATTTATTTTAGTTGGGATGTTTTGACAGTGCGAGGTACCGTACGTGTGGGTGCATATGAGGTAACACACTTCCCGTTTACGTGGTGTGAACTAGGCGGGCAAAAGCTAGCAAACGTCCATCCGATTGGTGGAAAATACGACGTGCATCCCATGTTAAGCCAATTGTCGCTTGCCTGGGCCCTCTCCACGCCCCATTTCCACCAATCACCATCTCGACGTGACGCCTCGCTCCGCGGATTGGGCGTGGAGTTTGGGCGTATGTCTGGCCTTGGGTCTTTTGTGTGCACCAGATACGGACCCATATATCGATCCAGGTGACCTCCAAGCCTCGCACCTGGAGTAAAGTAAAGTAATGTGCCCTTGTAGGAGGTATATGTGGGTTAGGGACAAGCCCGCGGCCCGTTAGCAGCACACACACTGCCCCACACAACCTTGGTCTACATTTCTAGCCCAGAAAACCAGGTGATACAAGCACAAAGGAGGAGGAATGCAGGTCTTGATCCCGGGAAGCTGTCACTCCTGCTGAGGGTGCAGGTACACAGCGGTAAAAAGGAAAGGGTCGCGCGAGGGGAGGGGTGCGGGACTCGGGCAGTGTGTACCATAACGGCCACACACACACAGAGTACACGGGGGAGCAGGTTACCACGCCGGGGTGGACTGTCACGTGTGATAACCACACCACAAATCGCTGTGAAGAAATAGAACTCACGCAATCATAATTCCATACGCACATAAATATGATAAGAGCATAATTTACATAATTACAAAATAATCAATTATGTAAAGTAAGGCAAGAATAAGGTAGTAATCGTATGATACACAATGGTCGCCATAGCCCATTGTGTCAGAAAGTGTTCGGCTTATAAGTTATCACCGACACATAATATTACCCAAATTATCTATAATATAAAATGCTGTTATCAGAATTCTATATAAATTACGTACTATTTTTTTCACCACGTAAAGTTAGGACCTTTTGATTACCGACAGTTGTTAGCTGTACGGACAACCTCCTCATCTACTTGAATAACAATGTTATTGTACTTCATGTTGTTCTTTGGTGTTATGGCTCTCATTGTTGAATAAATAGTAAATTAAGTACATTCTCAAATCTTGGACAGATTATGTAGTGAGAAGTCATTTGTAAATAATTAATGATAAACCTATATATGTATGATTAAAACACAC